GTGAGGGTGAGGAGTGTGAGGGGTGTGAGGGTGAGGAGTGTGAGTGTGAGGGTGAGGGTGAGGGGGAGGGGGAGGGGGGGTAGGGGGGAGGGGGGTGGGGGGGGGGGGGGGCGAATGGGGGCTTTCCTACCCCAAGGACAGGGGTGTAAGGCCAGGGCAGAGAGAGGAGGGAGAGGGTAACAAGGGGAGTGAGATGTGCTCTGCTAGCCCAAAGACAGGCTGTGTCTGCTGAGTCTAGTCAGGGGGGTGAGAAGTGGGGTGAAATAAATGAGGAAGAGTGGGGGTTGGCAATTGTGAGGTGGAGGGCAGTGAGAAATGGAAAATTGGAGACACTAGGGAGGGAATGAGGCAAAAGAGGGATAAAGCAGATGTGAGATGGATTTAAAAAGGCTGTTATCAGTGCATTGGTAAAGGGAGAAAGCAGTGGGTGGTAAGGAGGGCTCTGAATGGGTAGCAATGTAGTTCAGCATAGAAGGAAATTTGGAGAGTAGTGGTAGCTAGGGCACAGGGATGAGGAAGGTCTGAAGGGGATCAGGGAGAGAGCAGGGCAGCAGCTCATTTGGACGAGGAAAGTGAGGTAGGTGAAGGAGGTAACTCATTTTAGACAAATGATGAATAGAATGAAGAGAACTGGGACTGATGTTGGAACAGGGCAGAGTTGAGAGAGATGGGAGGACAATGATTGAATAAATCCTTTCATGTATAGGATTTCTGTTTACTTTATTTTATATCTTCAGACTAATCTGAATTGAACACTGATCATCGTGCATCATAACTGACCAAAAACAATGATGCTGTCATTCTCCTGTTCAACCTGTGATTAGAATCAGGTAGTTTGAAGCCTGAACTAAACATGTTTGGGGGTGTTCATGTATGGACTGATTTGGGTTACTTCCAGAAAAGGTTGCTAAGGTGGATATCCGGTCAGCCAGTTATAACTTAATCGACAGGTACAGAAACTGGAAAATGGCATGGACAGGTGTGTGAACTGTTGTTGCAGGATGATCAGGATAATAATTCCGGCGGTAATTTGCTCCTGCCCCCTCAAATTTGACTTTGTTGTGAGGAAGAGAGGTGTTTCCAATGGACAGAAGTGGATGTCTCAGTATTACTGCCTTTAGCAACTTAAACTGCCTGCTGGAGGTCATGACGGTGTACCTTTGGACTGTCCCCTGTCAATGTTACAGAAGTCAGACTTGGGGTAGGTTGAGGCTATTCAGGGCTGGTGAGGTATGTAGAGAGTCACTTGGTCTATGGTATAGGAGTAGGCTATTCAGTCCCTTAAGCATGTTCTACAATTCGGTTAGATCATGACAATCTAACTGTGTACGTTGTTAATTAGCAATAGCCCGTGAAGGACCATAGACATTTTTTCATGAGGAGCGGCAGCTGTTGTGTTGCTTGAGGGTCTCCGCATCTTGAGAGGCAAGGTAAGGAGGCTGCATGAATTTACCAGAGTCAGCACAGATTTGAACCCACGCTGTTGCTATCTCATGACCTACGCTCAACAGCCAGAGTATTCTTAGCCCTCTCCTCTTTCAACCACACACCACGCTTTGGAATATAATCTGTAGACTTGTGGTCAACCTTGCCATGTATGCTGATGATTTCCAACTCTTCTTCAACCGCCGGATTTTTTATTTTTGCTGGTGGACAGCTTCTTCCATTTCCTGTCTTTGCTGAGCTACACCTACATTCAGTGAAATTCAGGAAGATCAAAGCTGACATTCCAACTGCTATTCTGCACTTTTCATGGAGTCCATTTTCCTAATTGGTCGTTGCCCTAGGATGACCCAGATTGTGTGTTTGAAACCGTGGAGCTTTATTCAAAACTGTTCTAAGGTTCTTGTATATATTCTTTCCATTAAAGGATCATCCACTTCCACTGTCCCACAGCCCATCTGTTACAACTCCTATTCAGCCTGTATCTTCCACAATCTTAAGCTCAATCAAAACTCTGTTGCCCATACCCTATACTGCACAAGAATTATCATGCATAATATTTTTCACTTTTTTCTACTTCCTTGTAATTATCTTGCATGTAATGAATTTAGGTAATTTTAGCCTGAAGTTCATGGGCGCACATTTCCATATCTTTCAAAGTGGGGAGCTTTCTGATGTTTAGTGTCATGGTATAAAGGATAGCAATGTGGCAGCTGTGCCTTCCAAAGTGCATATAATGCAGAATTCAACTTGCAGTTTATTTGGGCCTTTGATGCTATCTGTATTTATAACTTATAAATATTTTATATTTTTGTTGCTGCCTTGAGACCTTTGATAAAATACTCCACACAAGCGTGAACATGTTAGTCCCCCTGAGGTCGGGCTCTATTTTTAAAATGGAAATTCCATAATGCACAATTTAAGCAGTTAATTAGTTCAAAATTTTATAATATGGGAGATTCCACAAAATGTCATTTTTGTATGTTTGTACAAAGTGTCTCTTGTTTAGCAAACTATCTGTGCACTGGACTGGCAAGTAATTTCTAAAACAAAAACAGCAGTTGCTGGAAATGCTTAGCAGGTCTGGCAGCATCTGTGGAGAGAAATCGGAGTTAACGTTTCGGGCCCAGTGACCCTTTCTCAAGTAATTTCTAAATCTGAGAGGCCTCAGAATAGGGTTGGGCTGGGGACGAGCAATAAATGCTGGTCTAGCCAGCAAGGCCCATGTCCCACAAGTGAACCAAGAAAATGTTCCACTGCTGTTGGATTTCCTAGCCTGCAGGGATGGAGGGCATGTTACACAGCTGCTCAATGCTCCTTCAACTAAAAGCTGGAAATTCAGCCATCCATCCATTAAATCATTGTGCTAAGTAAATTTTTTATTTCAAAAATATACTTTATTCATGAAATCATCCATAAGTACGTACAAATCGGTTCTGTACAGAGAGAAAAGAAAAACAAAAAATGTTGGAATTTTGACATTTCTCAGAACTTCTTGCCAGTTGTACAAAAAAGACATATTCCACTTATGCTGGAAAGGAACTTTACAGAGCAAGAAATTCTCAACAGGTGAAACAAAGATCTGACTGGAAGAATTTTAAATTTTTTATTAGCTGCCTTGCATTCCTTTTGCAGATGCGATGTGGAGGTGCCGGTGTTGGACTGGGGTGGACAAAATCAGATATGACACGACACCAGGTTATAGTCCAACAAGTTTATTTGAAATCACAAGCTTTTGTGGCGCTGCTCTGAAAGCTTATGATTTCAAATAAATCTGTTGGACTATAACCTCGTGTCGTGTGACATCTGACTTTGTGGATGTGATTGTGCAAGATTGTTTTTTTTTGCAACAGAACAACTGTATAGTTTCTTCCCACAATTAGATGTTGTTTCAAGAGCTAATTGGGATAGAAAGCATTTTAAACTGATAGTTAGTGGCATCAGCAAGACAATGCTTATGTAAATTCCCAACATTCCTCCTTGTACTGCAAGTAATCAGTTTGTCACTCTATCATTCTACTGGGATAAAATGATGCATTTGAATTAAGTTAATCGGAACATTTGTGGGCTGGAGCCACAGAATCTTCCAGATTGTGATCTCATCGAGCCTTACAAACAGTGGCAATAATTTTGCATTTTTGTAGTGCCTTTAATGTAGCGAAGGCGCAAGGCTGCACCTCAACTTTTCCTGAACAAAATTGGAGACTGAGCGGCACAAGGAGATCTTAGGACAAGTTACCAACTGTTATGTCGGAGGGAGAGGTTTTAAAAGATTTCTAGCCCAGGCAATTGAAGGCACAGTCATCCAATAGTGGAATAATTTGAATTGGGAATGTTTTAGAGGTGAGCTTTGGAGAAGTGCAGAGATCTTAGAGGGTTGTGGGGCTGAAAGTGATTAGGGAAAGGGAGGGTGAAGCCACATGGGGGATTTGAAAGCCAGGATGAAAATGTAACAGTGTTGTTGCCACACTAGGAGCTAACTGGATTATTGTGCACAGAGGGGTTGGTGAATGGGACTTAGTATACATTACACACCTCTCCTGCATTCTCGTGGAGATGTGGGGGCAGAAAAGCTGTCTGACATACATTCCAGAGTTTCCAGCTTTCTGAGTTGTTGATGTCAGACGTATTATTTAACCAAGTGTGACAAGGTTAGAGAGGGTTGGTTAGCTCTGTTGGCTGGACAGCTGGTTTGCAATGCAGAGCGGTGCCAATAGTGCAGGTTCAAATCTCAGGTTACAATGGAGATTCCAGTCTTCTCGACCTGCTTTCTTGTCTGAGGCGTGGTGACCCCCAGGTTAAACCACCACCAGTCTCTCTCTTTAATGTGACAGCAACCCTTAGACAAGGTGAGCAATGAGTCAGGAGTATCAGTAGTCTACATCATGTGGTTCCCAAGAGGCACAGTGGATAGTGTCCATGCCTCTGAGTCCAAGTGTCATCCCAGCACTTGCCCAAGGAAATTAAGTTCATAACGTGGCCAAACAGATTGTCAATTTATAAATCCTTCTGTTACGGGTAATGGTAAGTGCAGTAGAGTTTCCTATAACTGTGTGGTAGCTGCAGTGCAAGAGCCCTCCCATGTTAAAATACTCCACCTTTAGGTTCTTGCCATGGTCTGTACTCTGTGACAAGCAGCCTTCTCACTTTGAAGGATTACAAGAGGGACAGCCCTGTTCCCACTGCTTATTGACATCAATGTCCACTAAATCTGATGGCTGGTGTAACTTTAAGAGCACTTTACAACTCCAGTCTCTCATCCCTCATAATCTCTGAGGTTATTAGCCCAATATTCTGCGACCTCCTAAATCTAAACTCCTGCACTCACCCGATTTTAATCGCTTCCACAAATGACAGCCCTGCT